CTCCGCGCCCAGGCTCCGGGCTCTCCTCCGGCCCACGCGGCCCGCGGTCCCCTCCACTCCTGGCTGCGCTGAGTCCCAGACACAGACGGCGGACGGGCGGGAAGAGACCTGGCCGGGAGCTTGGACGCCCCGCGTTTATTAAGCGCACTGCTGGCGGCACGCGGACACGCGGACACCCGACACACGGACACGGCCAGCCAGACCTGCAGACGGGGGCCCCGCGCGTGTTTAAACACAAAACGTGCGCACACCTCCAGCTAAGTCCCGGCTCCATCCCGCAGCGTTTACGAGCCCTCGGGGTCGTTCAGGTTCAGCGTCTCCAGCGGGGCGCTTGGGCGGCCACCCGGGCTCCAGCCTGCGGGGCGGGGCGCGCGGGGTTCAAGTTGATCCTCTGGAGGTTAGCGGAGGACCGGCTTCGCCGCGCGCGCTCCCCCTCCAGGGGTCTTCCCGCAGGTGAAGGTGGGCGCCGCGAAGAAAGAACACCTGGCACAGACTCGTGTTGAAGAGCCGCTCAGAGGGGCTGATACGGCGAGCAGGTGAGTCCTCTGGGGAGGATCTGTGCCGGGGGCAGGGAGGGAATGCAGAGAAATGGAGCAGGGCTTCTTGAGGCCGAGAGACCGGTTATCTACGTAGTTTCACTTGAGTTATGTAATAATTGCCGACTGGGGGGGGAGACAGTTCTTGGTGTGAATTCACCGGAGTGATGCCCAGAACAATACCTCTGATACAGTAGGTGCTCAACAAAAAATAACCATGATAGACGCGGGAAGGTCCGTCTCTCCCTCCTGGTCTAGGTTGGAGATTGGGGAACATTTTCCAAGAGCCAGAGTAAATATTTTAGGCTTTGGGAGCCGAACTGTCCCCGTGGCAGGTACTTGGCTCCGCCAGGAAAGCAGCCACAGACCTGCCAGTAAATGAAGGGCTGTATTTACAGACACTGAAAGTAACATTGTATTTAAGGACACTGCTGTATTTATTTACGGACACTGAAAATAACATTGTATTTACGGACACTTAAGTCTGAATTTCATACAGTTTTCATGTGTCATGAAACAGTATTGTTTTCCCCCCAACAATGTGAAAATCATTCTTAGCTCTGAGTTGTATAAACACACATGGCAGGTCAGTTGGCACTCAGGAGTCTCCTCTCCTCTGGGTCTAAGTTTCGGAGCCAGGCGAGGAGTGCTGAATCAGCGCCCTGGCAGTCCTCACCAGCCTTGTGAGGGCCACTGGGCCAGCCTTCCGCCCTCTGCACTTTGCTAGAGGCTGACAGCGCTGTGGTGGGTTCTCAGGGACTTTGCTGGTTCTCGGGGAGTCTGCAGCCACAGGCACGTGGCACCTATTGGTCCCTAGTCGGGTAAGGGGCGGGGCAGGAGTCCCACCTGTTTAAGATGAGGACTGGATGAGCTTTAAAAAATTCGTAATTCAGATGCCCTATCGGTTTATTTAAAATAATGGGTGCCATGTATGTAGGCAGCTTCCTTCTTATTTTCTGGAAGGATCCTACAAGCCTCCGATGCACACGTACTTGACCTCCAGGTACTCGTCAATGCCATACTTGGAACCCTCACGCCCGAGGCCAGACTGCTTCACCCCACCAAACGGGCACTCCACAGAGGAGAGCAGCCCCTCGTTGACGCCCACCATGCCCACCTCCAGCTGCTCCGCCACCCGCCAGATCTGGGCCAGGTCTTGAGAGTAAAAATAACCTGTCACAGAGAGAAAGGACACAGGTAGCATGTAGGACAGTCACTGAAGACATGACATCTGAAGCTGAGGTGGCACTGCCATTGGCCTAATCACCTGGGCCTGGAACCACCCACTACCCAGCTCCCATCTAGACCCCAAGCTGGGCCTGTCCATTTCTTCCTGTCAAACCCTGGACATGTCTTTCTGCTTCTGTTTCCTGCTTCTTGTGTGAGCTCTTACCGTCTTCTGTCAGGACAGTGACCACACCCTCCCAGGGCCTGTGACCCACTATTCAGTCCATCGGCACGTCTCTGTTCGATTATCCACGTGATATTCCTGCCTGAGCTTCCAGGTGACTGCTTGTCATCTATCCAGTAAGGTTCCTCGTGGGATCCAAGGCCTCGGCGCTTTCACTCAACTGTCAGTACCACCTCTCCTCACTCCAATGACCCACCACCTTCTCCAAGCTCGCTGTCCGGAAGGCGTGGGCAGAAGTATCACGTGGATAATCACACAGAGATGTGCAAGCCCCTGAGAACCGGGGACCCCTGGGTGCGTGCAATCCCCATCTGGCTCTCTCCCACCATCCGGGGCTCTCACCGGAGCTCCCAGTGGGCACTGCAGGGCAGGAGAACAGGAGATGCACACACCTGCCCCTGTCCCTGCCCTCAGAAAGCAACAAAGTGCCTTCCAACCCAGGGCGGTGTCCAACAGGCAAACTCCAGCATTATCTTGAGAAATTACACAACTGCCCCCCAAGCCAGGACAGACATGTACCTGCTAACCCAACATCGGTCGCATTAGCGATGGCCACAGCCTCCTCCTCCGTGTCGAACCTGCCAAAGTTAACACGGGTCATCAGCAGGCTCTGTAAGTGGGGCGGCAAGAAAACCGGCTGTCTTTTCTCCCGACTTATTTCCCCAGTAACGGCAAGAGAAACTGGAGTGTTGCTGGACAATCTTACTTGATAACTGGCGCCAGAGGCCCGAACGTCTCCTCGCGAGAGCAGAGCATGTCCCGGGTGACGTTGCTGAGCAGGGTGGGCTCAAAGAAGTTGTTTCCAAGTGGGTGCCGCTTCCCGCCCGTCACCAGGGTGGCCCCTTTGGAAAGCGCGTCACTCACATGCTTCTCCACCTGCAAGAGGAGAAAGGGCAGAGCCCCCGGGAGGGCTGGTTAAGGCTGCCTGGGGAATGACCACCCCTCAGAGCCTGTGAACGCAGAACGCCGTGACTGGCTTTCTCTCTTTCTCAAATAGGCACAAAACCACGCAGCCCAGCCCCTGCCTCTCCCACTGCCATCGCCACATGCTGAATGTGGCCCGAGATCCGACATCTCACTGCCACGGATCCTTCGTCAAGGATCCTTCTGGAAGGGCGTTTTGCTGTCCAAGCCAGCATTTCAGCTAAAACACAGACAATCTCAGAAACAAAGCCCATCTTCCTTCCCTTTCAGGTATTGGGAAAATTTCAAAACTCTATGTTTTGAAATCATAATTCCCAAGGCAGCGAGGGATGGAATTACCACTGCGAACAGAGGAAATTTAGGGAGCACAGATCTAAGTGACATCTCATGGGGACTCAGTGTCATGACAGAGCTCGAGAAACTTATGACCAGATGATGCCACAAGACTCCTACGAACTGGCAGAAAATCAGTTTTTTCCAACTTTACCATTTTCAAAGCAGCCTTGCTGGGCACCCTACCAATGTGTCTTCTCTCATTTAGCTTCTGATACCAAAACCGTGAAAGCTAATGAACGGACCTACCTTTTCTACTGCTTTTTCGTTGATCAATGGGCCTTGAGTGGTTTGCTCCTCAAATCCGTTTCCCACATGCAGGCTGGTTTTAATCGCCTCAGCAAACTTCTTCACGAAGGAGTCATGGATTCCCCTTTGCACCAGGAACCGGTTTGAGCAAACACAGGTCTAGACAGAGAAGAACAGACTGGTGGACGGTGTGTCGGCAGCTCCTGACCCGGCCCAGAAACAAATACATGTGGGGCTGCCGCTCCCTCTGTGCAAACAGAGAACAATTTGATTAAAAGTCCTCTGTTGTCTGGGAATGTCCCTGAAGCTGGCAACTCTACCTCACTTCTCTCGGAGCCTCCAAGCCTAGCCTCGCCCCCAGCAAAGGGCATTTGCTGAGAAAGTGAAAGAAGAAAGAATGGATCGTGGAGGAACCAAAAGTTTCCCTCCAGGAGATGAGTCAGGTGGAAGGATGTTTGTAAAACACGGACACACACAACCCCAGGGACACGCCCCAGGACTCACCTGTCCCGAGTTCCTGAATTTCGACGCCATGGCCCCCGCCACAGCCTGGTCCACGTTGGCACTGTCGAATACGATGAACGGGGCAAGGCCACCCAGCTCCATGGACACCCTCTTCACGGAGTCAGCCGCGTGGCGCAGCAGCACCTGTGGGCAAGGGAGCGGTGCTGGGTGCGAGGGATGAACTACCAGGGCTGGCGAGCTCGCTCCAGAAGTGACCCAGCAGCAAAGAAGGCCACGTGTACAGCGGGGTAACTGTGCACTACTTCGCGTAAGAAAAGGGGGAGCAGACTGTGTGTTCACGGTGCTGCTGACACGGTGGGTGGCGGCTCCCAGGGCACCACGGCCTGAGCGCAGGTTTACACACAACAAAGCGATTACGACCGGGAGATGCTCCTTCCTGTTTCTCAGTGTCTAGAAATGACCGATTTCATAAAAACTTCCAGATTAGGTTTATGATTTATGTTGTTTTTATCTGATGTTTTTATCTACGTGTCTGAGTATATACACACACACACACACACACATATCAGTAGGGAAAAAGTTTACTATGTGGAGGGAAATACCATAAATAAAAACCTGTTCTATCTGCTGTTTTGCTCTGTTGAACATTTAAAAAGTCCTTTTAGTTTCTGCAGGTACCTGTATACTAAATACAACTTCCGTTCAATTCTGAGACACCCACTCCAGCACCCGCGGTGTGTTTCTGAAATCTGATTCCAGATTAGGAAGGAGACCTGCATTCCAGAAGGAGACCCGATGTTCAGCTCTCAGCCACCTCACATCCAACACAGTGGGTGTTTCCGCCACCCAGCTCCTTAGGGACTTTTTTTTTGTCACAATGAGGGACACCATCCGGAGTATGTCCAGAGGCCGAGCAGACACACTGTTTGACGGAGCTTTTAACACCCTGCCAGCCATCTTCCTATGAATGGCGACCGAGGTGAGATAGTAGAGAAAACAGAATGATGTGTTTTCTGAAGTCACGTACCTTCCCGGTGGCGGTCGAGCCAGTGAAGGAAATTTTGGACACAAGCGGGTCGGTGCAAAGCGCCTTCCCCACATCCTTGGCCTTCTCCCGGGAGCAGGGGACCACGTTGTAGACCCCGGGAGGGATTCCCGCTTGGTTTGCAAGCTGTGGAGAGAACCAGCAGACATGGGGCAGCAAGTGAGAAAACAGAAAAGAGAAATAGATGTTTTATCCAAAAAGTAACAGGGAAAAAACCAACTAAGCTGCCTTTGAGGACAGGGTCAGAATAGATTTGGAACTGAGCGTCTTATTAGTGCCAATGTGATATTACTGTGTTGTTATACATCTTTAAAAATAAAATTTCTTAGAGTTCAAGTTTCAATGCCACCTCCTGTTAAAAGAAAAAAAGAACCAACCTTGGATTTCTTTCCTGGGCCAGGGCTCACCTTGGCCAGGGCTCACCTCGGCCAGTGCCAGGGCTGAGAAGGGCGTGTCTTCAGCAGGCTTGACCACGACGGTGCAGCCGGCCGCCAGAGCGGCCCCCACCTTGCGGGTGATCATGGCGCTAGGGAAGTTCCACTGGGGACAGAGGCACGGAGCAGCCGTTAGAGGAAGCGCCACTCAGACGCGCACCTGCGGCCAGGCAGCAAGCCCACCGCCCGGCTGACGGGCAGGTTCCCGGCTCCTCACAGGTATAAGTCCTCGCGCACCCACACTGTCAACCTGAGGGGCTCTGGGACGGAGACTCACACAGACGGGATGTTTCAGAATTTAGAACAGTACAGGTGTCTACCCAGGGGTCGGCAGGCTTGCTCTGTGAAGGGCCAGACTGTCAATAGTTATGCTTTGCGGGACGTCCGTGGTTGTGATGTGGAAGTTTTCACAGACAGTGCGAATGCACGTGGCCGTGTCCCCATGAACCTTTATTTCCAGACATGGGCAGCAGGCTGGAGCTGGCCCGAGGGCCATAGTCCGTTGACCCTTTGGTAGAAAATATTAGCAAAGGTGACTTTGAAATGGCAGGTGATTTATTCCTTCCCTCTATTTATACAGATGCCTGTGGACATGTCATATCTCTATCAACAGTGTTTTATGTGACAAATGCTTTATAGCGCTCATTCTGTGGCAGGCACTGTTCTAAGCTCTGTTAAATTAAAACTAATTAAATCCCATCACAACCCAACGAGGTCAGTATTATCCTCACTTGCAGGTTTGGGGAAACTGAGAGCAGTTAAGCGACTTGCGCAACATCACACAGCAAGTAAACAGTGACCTCTGAGTCAAACCTGGTCAGTGTGGGTGGCGGGGCTGCCTCTCTGTAACTGTGCTGAGCAGGGAAAGGACAGGGTCTGGACACCAGCCGGCCGACACCAGGGAGAAGCTAACGTGGGACCTCATGGGGGTGGGTCCAAGAGGGCTGGTCACCGAGAGAGAGCTGGGCACCCACCAGTCACTGCAGCCCACCCAGGCTGACCATCAAAACGTGTCCTATCTGAAGTCTGAAAAAACAAATACCAGTAGGTCTTTTCAGACATGCTGGGCAGTGCCAAGAAGAAGCTTTTACGCCAAGTCAGAAAAGATGGGCCTCCTGTGGTCTTCCCACTCGCAGGTGCTGGGAAATATGCTCCACGGCCACCCACACCTCCCAGGTCAGGGGACCAGGACACACACCTGCGCATCCCCCAGCACAGGAGTGAGGAAACCTCGAGCAGGTGACCCCTAACGTACCGGGGTGATGACCACGGCCACACCGAGCGGCTGCTTGAGGACCAGGGCGCGCTTCTCCTTGGCAGGGGTGCTGATGATGTCTCCATAGATGCGGCGGGCCTCCTCCGAAAACCACTCCAGGAAATTGGCGGAGTACAGAATCTCCCCCTGAGCCTCCTTCAGCGGCTTTCCCTAAATCCAGTCAAAAAGGACACTCGTCACCTTCCAGAAACAAGTACGACTGTGTGTCTCCATCCTCAAGGCCGCGAGCAGAGTGGGGAAGGCTCCCATCACATCCCCGGGGCTGCGGAGACACTGCAGCCTCAGAGCAGGTCTTCAGCGCAGACGGAAACGGTGACGGGAATGAGCGTGGGCCGCAGCTGGCACCCGCGTTGGCAGCACAGGGACTCGTTAGAGGAGACAGAGCCCCATCTGCTGCCCTCTCCCTCCCTCTCACACCGTCTCAAGGCGGTGGCTGGGGTGAAAGTCACTGATTATAGCTATGGAGGAACTACCGGCATGGCTTTAAATGCACAGAAACAACAGGAAAAGTCAACCAAAACAGTCACACAGAACAGACGAAACAGGGAAAAGCAGTGTTCGCACCGTTCCCCTCGAAACCCACCTCCTGCCCATGACTGCAGAGCAAACGAACACACACACGTTTTAGCAAAACAAGGGCCTGGCCTTGATTAGAAAAAGCTTGTGCCTGGCACAGTAATTGGGTGATGTCTGGTCATTAGGCTGGGAATTCACATTGTTTTAGCTGCCACAGAGCAGCGAGAAGTCAGCGGCTAAGAATCCCGGACAGGTTCTCAGGCAGCGAGTCGGGGCCCTGGACTTACGCTCTCGGCTGTAATGATCCTGGCGAGGTCGTCTTTATTTTGAATCATTAAATCATACCATTTCCGAAGTAATGAACTCCTCTCCTGAAAAAGAGGTAAGAAGGTAGAGAAATAGTGAGATGCCAAGTGAGAGAGACTATTAAATGTTCTTCAACCTCCTAACGTCGTAGCCCTGTCCTCATTCTGAGCAGAAGTGATAGAGACCAGCCTCCGGTGCATCTGCAGGGTGAACCGGGTCGCGAACCGTGAGGGAAAACGTTTGCAAACAGCTCTTACTGTTTATGGCAGACAGGAATGACTCATTTTCATTGTTATTTTTTAAATGTTTTTATTTTAGAGAGGAAGGGAAAGAGAGAGAGAAACACCGATGATGAGAGTCATTGATCGGCTGCCTCCTGCACGCCCCCTACTGGCGGTCGAGCCCACAACCTGGGCATGTGCCCTGACCGGGAATGGAACCAGGGTCCCCTTGGTGCACGGGGCTCAACCAACTGAACCACACTGGCCATTGTTATTTTTAATTACAGTAAAATGCACATAACAAAATTCACCATCTTGAACACTGTTCCGTGGGCAGTTCGGGGGTGGTAAGTCCACTCACACTGTGTGACCGTCACCACCACCATCTCCAGAACTCACCTGGGGAAACTGGAACTGTCTCCATTAAGCACCAGTTCCCCCCCCACCGGTCCACTTTCTGTCCCCAGGAATGTGGCTCTTCCAGGGGCCTCAGAGAAGTGGAATCCCATGGCACTTGTCCCGTTGTGGCTGGCTGGCCTATTTCTCTCGGGATAAGGTCCCCAAGTTTAGTTCCTTATTTTAACAACTCACTGGCAGGGTGACTGTCCCCGACTTGGGGTGTGCGCGGCCTAAGGAAAGGTCTCACACACTTAGGCAGAGGGCCCAGGCGGCACGCCGTGAATGTGCTTAATGCGGCCGGGCTGCACCTTACAAATGGCTAAAATGGCGAGGACAAGGAGTGACCCCGGTGACGGGAGGCAACGCGGAGGTGTTGGGGGCACGAGCAAGACAAGGTGTGGGGACCGTGCTCAGAGAAGAGAGACTGGGGAAGGTGTGTGCCTGGGACAGGCTCAGGCGCAGAAGTGACAGGTGAGCTTGACCCAGGAACAGGTGGGCCTGAATGTGCCGAGGAGGGACCGGGAGAAGCTGGCTGGACCTTAGGCCACCGACAAGTAGAGGGAGGACCACGTGAGGCCACCAGAAAAGATGGCCATCCACGGGCCCAGGAGCCAGGCCTCAGGAGAAACCAGCCCTGCGGACACCCTGACCTCGAGATCCAGCTTCCATAGCTCAGAAAACTCCTTCAAGCCGCCCCGTCTGTGGCCCTTGCCCTGCCCTGGCTGCACCTGCCCTGGCTGCACCTGCCCTGGCAGCAGGTGCCCTTCCCTCCGCTGGGGCCTCGCCTGCTCCGGACATTGCCCCCCAACACCTACCTGCTTAGCTATTCGTGTTGTTTCTGGGTTAGGTCCCCCCTGTGCCCCTGAACCCCACCTGCGCTCCGGGGGCAGGAACCCTGTGGACTGCGGTGCCCCAGCCGCTCCGGCAGTCAGGGCGCAGGACCCGTGGGAGCGCGAACAGTCCCGCGCTCGC